GCGCATCCATATTATATAAAATACTTGTATTTCAAGAAAAAAAATCAAAATAATTAATATATATAATATTAAACATAATAAATATAATTCATAAATTTCACCTTAAAATTGTATTTATTTTGATTTCTTGCCAAACAAATATACCTGAAATTAATAAATCCAGTATATTATCAATAATACTATATTTTACTTCATAAGAAAAAATAAAAAGGAAAAAACAATTTAATCACTATTTTTTAATATTATATTAAGTTTCATATAATAATTATAAAGATATCTTCATACTATATCTAAAGTACATCATGATCATTAGATATTAAACATTAATGATTTAAAAATACATAATCTTAAAAATATAAATATATTTGCAAAAGAAACATTCTTTTATAAAATTTAAATTTATATTCTTTTTTTATTTTACCTCTTATTTTACTTACTATATAAAATAAAATAAAATAGTAAAATAAAATAAAATAGTAAAATAAAATAAAATAAAAATAAAATATTATATAAATATAAAATATCATAATATATGAAAGAGTTATTTAAAATTATTATATTATATAGAGTTATTTAAATTATTTATTTAAAATAATTAAGAGTTATTTAAAAATTAATCTTAAAATTTATCTAGAACTGTTTATCAATGAGCAATATATAAAAAATGAATTTTTATCTTTATTAATTTATATTGTTAAATCACTATTCCATTAAAAATTAATCATTTAATTCATAAATTTTTTATTGTTTTTCATTTTCTAAACATATTATATATTTATTGGTTAATGATACTATTAATACTTTATTATTAATGATTATATACTGATATTTTATTATTTCAAAACTATAATTTAAAATAACTTACCATGGCATAATTTTAATTATGTTAAATAGATTTTAAAAATTAGAAAATTATATAATTAAAACATACTATGTAAAAAATTTAATTATACAAACATATTTAAAAATGTTTTTTTACTATAATATATATATATATATATATAGTATATATATATATATATGTATGTAACAAGTGCTAATCACTTTTAAATATTGTGTGAGTATGTGTATTTGTTTATGTAAAACCTTACAATATAATTTGCTTCCAAATTTTTGTTTTTTTTTTAATAACAAGATTTTTTCTTACAAAAATTAAATAAATTTAATTTTGTATAATTAAAAATAAAAAAAATTTTTTTCCAAAGAATAAATGTCCATTTCAATATAAGGTATATAAAATTTAATATGTATAAAGTAATTTGATTTTATAGGGAAAACATTATTATTTGAATTTTTTACATTGATATAGGAGTGTGCAATTATTTTAATTTATTTTCAACTATTATAGAAATTAAAAATTAGAAAGAAAAATTATATTAAGAAATAAAATGATAAATAATTATTATATATGTAATCATTATTAAATAATTAATATTTTTATAAATGTCACTGAATTATAGGTTATTTTATAGGTTATTTTATAGCATAGAAATAATCAAAAATATATAATTTATTGTATTAATAATATAATATTAGTTAATATTTAAATATCATAAAAATTTTGCATGTTATTAAACAATAAGATATTATAATTAGTTTATGGTTTGGGTAACATCTAGAAATATAATACATCATGAATAAGACCTTAAGTGACATACAAGTTTGACATACAATATGTAAGCATACCATATTTCATGCATGAAAATGTATGAAAACGCAAAATTGAAAAAGCGCATGTGTATATTTTCATTTTTATAAATATATATATATAATATGCAATAATTATTCATATAAATATGAAAAATACTTAATTATTCATATAAATATGAAAAGTATATAATTAAATAAAATTAAATAAACTTTGTTATAAATTTTTAATCAAAATTTAACAATATATTTTTTAAAAAATATATTAATTTCTTTAACTTTTTAAATAAAAAAAAATTAATATAATCTAACCTTTTTATAAAATATAATATAAAATGAATAATTTTTTATTTATAAATATAATTTTAAATTTATTTCTAAAAAATACAGATTATGATTTTAATTGATTCTAATTGTTTTATATATTCAGTATTAAAAAAATGTATACAAATCAAAATTTGTATGGTATGATAATTATTTACATAAAATGAAAACATGAATATAATTAAATATTTAATAAGTACTTACTCGTACTAATGGTTCTAATGGTAATATTTGAGGATTTTCTTCAAACTGTACATGTTCTTTTTCTTCTTTATCGTCCTTTTCTTCCTTTTCTTCTTTCTTTTCTTTTACTTTTTTCCCTGCCTTATTTTTATGTTTTTTTTCTTTACTTTTATCCTTTTTATCTATAATATTATTATAAGTGTTATATTTATTAATTCATATTTGATCTAAATAATTATATAATAATATAAATTAATTTGTAAAAATTAATTTTTAATAAAATATTAATTATTAATATTATTCTTAATAAAATAATTCTTAATAAAATATAAAGGAATTTAAAATAATTAATCTAATATCATTTGTATTAAATTATAATATTATATATTATATTAAATATAAGTATAATTTTAAATCAAAATTATCTTTAATATAAAAATGTATTTACAAATTACTTTACAAATTAAATTTATTTAAAATACTTAATAATACATACTTAATAAAAGATCATCAGGAAGTTTTCTTTGCTCTGCTATTGCTTCTTCATAAGACTTTTCTTTTATACCAAACATTGATACTAAAACAATAACTGCTGCAGAGATAACTACTACTGCTACATATACCAATCCTGTTTGAACATCCATTTTATATATATACTTCTGTCTGTAAGAATTAAATAAATTTATTATATGATAAAGATTATTTAAGATTTTTTTAATAACATTATGTAATTTTTATCACAATTTAATTATAATATATTTGTAGTGTTATATTCTAGTTGCTTTTTTTGAAAATATACGCATTATTGACAATATATATAATGTATTTATATATATTTTTAATTCAATTTATATTATTAATTGATTCTATAAATATATTTTTTGTATATACATTTCTGGAATTTTATATATCAATAATGTAGTATATAAAATAATGTATATATATATACATATATTATATATATATACATGTATATACATGTTATAATGTGTATACAGTATATAATATATATATATGTATATATATAAATACCATATATACCATATATATACCATAATACCATATATATAAATACCATATACGTATATATATATATATATATATATATATATATATACATACACAAAGTGTTTTATAATAAGGTTATTTATTAACTAAAAGTTTTAAAAAAAAGTATAACGAAAATGACATATGGGTGACAAATGGGTCATCGACATAATCATTGAAGATGAGTCAAGTTTCTTAATATCAAATCACTAATTGATAGAACCGGCAAAATGATTTATATTGTACTAACATTTCATTAAAACAATAGAATTAGCAAACTTGATAAACTTACACTTCTCATCAAAAATCAGTCGATTGCTTCCACTAAGGAATGTGAAATGAACAACGTAATGTTTGTCTACAAAGAATCACGACAAGAATTCACATACGACTTCTCAAGATTATGGCGGCCGGACGTACAGATAAGTATACGTGTTCGAAGCCACGCCTATCAAAACACCCGTTTTCTGATTGGTGGCAGCTTCTGCCACGTATGCAAAACATTGGTACAAACGAGAACAAAATTCATCTACGAATTTCGTTAATTGTCAGTGACAATTAACCACGGTAAATAATTGATAATTCATGATAACTTACATACTATACGGCATGCAAGAGTTAACGTATTTGTGTGACACTGTGTCAATTTTATTCTAAACAAGCTGACCAACTTAATAAAACATAGAGTTTGATTATTTTATGATTATAGAATTCTATTTTAATTGTATTTTATGTAAAAACAATCAAATTTTTTTATATATTTGTACTTATACTAAATTTTTAAAATTTATTATTAAACTTATTAAAACTTTTTTAATAATAAAAATAGTAATATATTTATTTAACGATTTAATTTTATTGTAATTTATAATCAACTTTTTAACATATAGAAAAATATGGTATTTTTATCCCACGCTTATCAAAGTATATAAGTATATTAAGTATAATAAAAATTTTATTGGAATGTCTGTTTGCTAATCTGAAAATAATATAAAAAACCATAAAGTTTATAGTAATATTATTAACTATATGATTATAGACTTTGTTTTAACAAATAGATATTTAATATTCTCTATTTATACAATCTTAATCAATTTTATTATTATATAACATTTTTTAACAAACAGTATTATGCGCTTTATATTTCTAATGTAAACTAATAATAAGAAGACGCATGATACTCAGAAATAATCAACAAAAATTGAATGTTTAAGAATTTGAAGAATGAAATATGCCACTTTTTTTGTTGCTTTTTAATGTATAAAAGCATTGGCAGTATTTCAAAATTATTGTATATAAATTTTCTGATTATTGGCATAAAATATTTTTTTTACTGTATTACATAAATATTATAATTGTACCGCAAATCGATAAATATACGTTTTCCACAAAACGTTATTTATCATTTATTAGAAGTTTATTTTAAAAATTGCACGAAATTTTTCATTTATAGATTTTTTTTTTTTCTTATGATAAAAAAAGATTTCAATATTATTAGGAAATATTCATGCAACTGCTCGTGCTTCTGGCAAAAAGCTTTCCCAATATTTAATAAGTTGATTTTGATATTGTAACATAGATTCCAAATATTCTGTTAATTGTTTTTTAAAGTCTTCTACTCTTACTAATTCAAATCGTTCGAGTTCTTTTTTAATCATTTTTGAAATATTATCAAATTCTTCTTGTCCTCTATCAACTTTTGCTTCCCATTCTATTACTTCAGTAGCAGCTTGACTTGTTTTGTCAGTTCTTCCAGATTGTTCTAATCTTGCTTTTTGTTCTCGTTTCTTATTTAGCATCATTTGAGCATGTTGCCAATTTTGAAAAACTTTTACTCTTTCATGAAATACATCCTAAAATTAATAAGAGTTTAAACTGTATAATAATTAAAATTTAAAAATTAAATTGAAAAATGTAAATTAATCGCCAACCTTTATTGCTCCAATGAGTGCAACATAATCTCTTAACATCTCTCCAAATTGATAAAGATCACTGTTACTTTGTGCTCTTCTGATTACTTCTACTTTTTCTAAAGTTTCAGCTAGTTGAGCTAATGCCCTTCCCAAAGATGCTCCTGGTTCACCATGACCAAGAACTGCGATAGATCTTGCTGTTGCACCAGTACATGTTGCTAATTCTCTTCTCTGATTAGTTAAAGTATCTACAGCAGAATGTAATGCACGTAGTTGAACATCGAGAGAATCAATTTGTGATGTCTTTTCTTCAAACCACTAAAAAAAAAAATTAAAAATATATAAAGATACAGAATGTTCAAATAAAATAAAAAGAAAATTTAGACGATTTTAAATATTAAAATAAACACAAAAATTGATACGATGGAAATAGAATCTCATTTTACTACTTTTTCATTTCATCTAAAATCAATTTGAAAAATTAATTTAAAGTTTTAACTGATATTTTTACATATCAATTCATTTTTATGAATATTTTAATTTCTATATATAATTAATTAAATAAATAATTAAATAAAAAATATTTTGTAATATATATATATATATATATGTATATATATATATGTATGATGCAAAATAATAGTTATAAAATTTTTTAATTTTACTTTATCAGTTTCATCCATTTTATATGTTATCTTATTAACAGTTTCTCCAACTTTGTTAAAAAGCCTCATTACGCCTTTACCACTAAGTGCAGATGTATTAGTAGCTTTAGGTAATTCCATATCTGTTTGAAATATACATAAAGTCAAATATATGATAATATTTAAGAAAATTGTTTTATTTTATACTATGACTTACCAGCTTCTAAAAATTCTCTAAAATCAGGATCAACACTAAGTACTGGATGAGCTGCAGTTCTATTCAAATATCTTTCAAGTGCTGCTCTGCGTTTTTCAATAAATTCTGTAGAACTAGAATTTTGTTCCTGATTCTTATCACCAGACATTTTAATTTTGGTTGTTCCTAAATATAAAATATTTTATTAAATAATACAATAAAATGATATATTATCTATTATAAAATATCTTTTACCAATGACACTTTTTTCTGGAGCAGGTGGAATTATTCTGCCATTTCTAAGATATTTATCTGTTAATTTGTCATGGAGACCAAGAAAATCACTAAAACGTCTAATAACACTAAAATTTCTTTTTCTAAATATTGGCATATTTGTTTTTGTTTCAACTTTATAAGCAACATAAGCACCCATTCCATCTCCTATTTTTTGAGGAGAAGTAACTGTAATTTTTAAAAAAACATCGGAAGAATCTGTTGATACCTAAAAATAAAATATATATATATGATATATATATTTTTTTAACATTTTGTTATTAATAATTAATAATTTAAAATATACCATATCAGTTGATTGAGTTTGCATAACATTTGATAATATATCTATATTATCATTTATGGGAACATCATGGAGATCTCCTATATCAGTATTCATTGGTCCCAATGGTGAACTTAATGGTCCTGGTGCAGGACTTGATACTGATGAAAATGAATTTTCTTCTGGTACATCTCGCAAAATCAATTTTGGTAACTCTGTTTGAATAGTAGATACTCCGTTATATGGAGGTGAATCTTCCAATTGACTTTGATCCTATATATTTCAAAAATATTAAATTTTATTTTAAAAAATATATAAAACAAATATAAAACAATTTTGTTAAGTCAATATTGATAACAAGTATAAGTATATATTTATTATAACATAAATAAACTTTTAAAACTAATTTATAGGTTGTGAAATTTTTATATGCACATGTTTAAAAACAATATAAAAAATACCTGTACTGCTGATGCAAAAATATCTTCATCATCATCATCTAAATCATCAACTTTTGTTTCATTAGTATCAAATAGTGGCGGAGATTCTTTTATATCAGCCATTTTAACAATTCTGTCAATTTACCGAGAAATGTAAGTATATACTGGGATCGGCCCCCTAAGTATTATATGCCAACGTCAATTGCTATCTAAGACTATCGTATTTCTCACAGAATCTATATTTGTGCTTTATAAACTTTCTAATTTATGTTTTTTACACATTCACATATTAATATAAAAGTCGCATAAATTACAAAATATAATATATAAACAATAAATTAATAATTACGTTATTATGAAAGCGTCTACTGATGAAGTCGGTTAGTTGCGGTTGGATGAAAAAATGCATTATGTACTGTTTCATTCACAATAAATTGTTATCGTCTAGTGATGAATTTATAGCGGCATATTTAAAAATAATAAAAGAAAGAATGATTTTATTATATCTAATTATTTTCTAAATAATATTATCATATTTTTGAAAATCGAAGATTAAAAATTTGTAAACATTTAAAAATTTTTAATACAAATATTTCAATATAATTAATAATATAAATAAATATATGTTTCTAAGAGAATTATATAAATCTATGGTTCACTTAATACATATATATATATGATAAAATATACATACGTACTTTCATATAGTACTTTTGTATAATGTCATATAATATACATTATGTATTATTTTTATATGCATCATAATAATCAACTATCATATATAAGAATCAACTTGAAGAAAGTTGTATGTATATTTAATATTGTATGTATATATAATATTTATTTATAAATTTTTTTATAAATATCTATTGATTGTGTCAGAAATGAATCAAATATCTAGAGAAGAAATAAATATCAGACGACTTTTAACAAGATGTGAATTAATGGCAAAAGATGATTCTCATAAAGATTGGAAACTTGAAAAGGTTTAAAAAATATATTAAGAAATTAATATAATAATTTTCAAATTATTAATTTTAAAATAATTTATTTAAAATAAAGATATCAATTATTTCAGTATATTTTTACTTTGGATGATATGATTAAACATTTACAAACATTATCAAGGTATAATTCAATTTTATCCTTTAAAAAAGAAAAAATAATATTTATTGATAAAAATTTAAATTTTAATATAGTAATATATCTTTTTTTAAATTATAATGAAATTAGTGAAATTAACTTTTTAGTAAACCATCTAAAGATACTATGATGAGTTATATTAAACGAATAGATTTTTTAAAAGGTTTAGTAAATACATCTAAACTTACAAGTCCAGTAGATAGAGTTGTAGCAGTACAAATGTTACCAAAAAATTCTACAACTTTTAATGATTCAATTGGTCCAAATATAACAACTCAAATACATCAAAAAACTTCGGCAAAATATAACAAAGAATTACGAGCTGAGTTATTTCATAATGATAAAGGTATATAAATTATATTTAATATGATAAATAATTAAATTATTTATAATATATAATAAAATTTGTCATTTATTTTTTAGGAATATTAGAAGATGGTATAAGACAAAGATCATCTACTATGAATATGCAAGATGATGATTTGGATGCACTTTTAAAATACAATAGAAATATTCAAGAAAAAATTGCTGAAAATATGCTTTCAATGACTAGTAGTATAAAAGAACATGCATTAGCAGCAAATGCTATTATAAAAAAGGATATTGGTTTACTTGAAAAATCTGATAAATTAACAGATATTAATACAAATAAATTAAAAACAGAATCATTAAAACTACAAGAGCATACACAATCTTATTGGCGATGTTGGATGTGGGTAATGATTGCATTTGTTTTAGTTATATTTTTTAGTAAGTACTATTGCATAATGTAAATATATTTACATTATGACATTATAATATTATTATAATATAATTTATTATTAGTTTTTTAAAAATATGTTTATATAATATATAAAATTATTTTTATATTTTGTTTTAGATATGGTATTATTTATAAAAGTTGCAAAGAAAAGAGTTTAGATTTGAATTAATAAATAATTAATAAATATATATATATATATATATAATTAATATATATAAATTTAATTAAAACGAATTATATATATTTAATTAAAATTAAAAAAAAATTATATATATTTAATTAAAACGAATAAGATTGTATATAAATATAAATAATACATTTATATAATTTATATGAAATTAAATTAATAAAATGAAATTGAAAATAAAATTCCATCCATATCCATCATTTCAAATATTTGTACTTGATTGTAGTTATATTATATATAAATATAATATCGTATTTTATCATACATATTGTATAATAACATCATTTTTTATTTTATTTTATCGTATTAACATTGTATCATTATATTTATTATGATAGTTTTATTATATAAATTTTATCTTTTAATAATAAATTTTATCCTATTTATTATTATCATAATTATATACAATATACATATGTATACATTTGTTTTATTATTATACAATATATATTATATAGTGATTATAATATTATCCGTGATTTCAGTTATTTGTTGAGAATCTTGAAATCTATTCTTATAATATAAAGATTTTATCATATTTATGATAAATTTATTAAAATTAAAATAATTTGCATTGTATTTTTCAAAACAATTTATATTAAATTAATTAAAATTAAATAAGTTATTAATTTTAACTAATAATAAAGTAAAAAAAATGAATTTAATATATATATAGTAACTAAATTTATAGTAGCAAATAATTTTAAGAAAAAATATTATAAATATATTATGTATTATTATTTTTCTTATTATTTATTTATAATCAAATAATTTAAATTTTTACATTTTTTTGCTGAACCATCTATTGAAATCCAATCTTAATAATAGTTGTGCTAAATGTTCTCCACTTGGTTGTGCACGTACTCTATTCAAAGTTTTAGTTAACCAACCCATTAAACTTCTAAGAGTATCAGATAACGTATTAAGTTCTTCTTGTTCTGTTAAAAGTAAATCACCTACTTCCCACATTGATGCTTGTAAAATAAAATCATCACAAAGTCGTAATAAAAGTTTTATTAATTTATTCACCTATAAAAATATCTATTAATAAATAAAATAAAAATTAATGTGATTCATATTTAAATGTAACATACAGGATTTTTTCTCTCTGTTGAACTCCCCAGTAAAAATGTTTGTGACATAACATTAGCTAAAAAAATACAGTGTGCCCTTTGTACATCTTCAAAATTTCGAGTATTTTTTATATTTGTTTCCATTATAGTATATTGACTTTCTAATACATCAACTTGTAAATAGTATTGTAGATTATCAATAATGAAAATTAAATTATTTCTTAATTGAATTACACCAATATCACTATAATAATAAAAATAGTTAATATTTAATATTAAATTAAACTATTTTTACATAAAGTAAAACAATATTCTTTGAATCAGTTTAACATTTTTCAAAATTGAGAACTTATAATCTTACAAGAAAAGTTATCATCATGTTTTTCAAATCAATATTAATAATTGTCATTGAATAAAAATGCTTTGAAAAGTAATGAGACAAGAAATAAATGTTACTTGTTCAATAATAGATAGACAACATATCATTCTGGTATCATCATATTAATTTTATATATATTTTAGTTTATTTAATAATAATAGCATTGATATTTTTTAATATGGACAATTGTTTCTATAGTAATATGAAAACTTTGCTAATTGATATACAATTGCACAATACGTAAGTAAGAATGATATTTTTAAAAATAGATATTTTTTTAATCAATATATTTTCTTTAATTCTGATATTTTTTTATGAAAAATATGCATAATATCGTGTTGTTCACATCTGTAAACATCTAAAGATTGTTCTAATATATAATGTTAAATAATAACATTTGAAAATGTTATACCAATATTGATCTAGCCATTCATATGTTATGTTATAGTGACAATTTTGAAACTGATAAAGAAATAGAAATGTTAAACTGATATTGAAGACACTATATAATCACATCTTACATATTTTTATAATACATATGCTCACTCCATAGATTCCATAAATCAATTTGTGTTTTTTTAACTCTTAGTAAAAATTTGAATAATATATTGTAATTATTCAAAGCAGATGGACTAAATAGTAAGTGTAATGGCCATATGACTTTATATTTCAAAATAATCATACCCCATCCACGTCTTTCTACAATAATATTATATATATTAAACATATTATACATATATACATATATTATATATTATTATACATATATTAAATTGTTGAAAATTTTATTATTTAAAATATATCATGCTAAATAAAAAAAATATTTTACCAATAGGATCTTCACGTTCTTTCTCAGTAAATTCTGCACCTTCTATCTCAATATCTTCACTTTCATTTGCTGGAACTGGTACTATAAAATTAAAATTATCCATAGCGTTTTCATCATTTAAATGCATTTTTCTTAAAGCCATTTGAAAAGCTAAATTAATATCTCTGGATGTATGCTGTGTTGGTTGTTTATTCAATATATGAGCTGTGAGTCTAATAAACTCAAGAAACAAATCACCTCTTCCCATGAGAAAGAAATCTTTTACTAATTTAAGTTGCTGTACAAGATGTGCTTCTTCAACAGCAACTCGCCATAAAAGTTCTGTTATACATTGTTTTAATTCATCAATTATATGTTCAAATTCAACAATATTAAAAATATGTTTTTTTTGGAGATTCTGAAGTTTAAGAAAATATTCATATTCTTTTTCTCCCCAAATGGAAGTTTCAGTTTGATCAACCATAGCAAAATCTATAAACAAATAAAATAAATTTATTTAATATTTTATGTAATTTAAAATTTTTGAAATACAAATTACCTTTTTTCTGTCTTGGATCATTTCCAAACATTATAATAGTTTGTCCTATAGTTAAGATTTTAGTTGCTAAAGATGGTCTAATATAAGAAGGAAGCATATCTATTTGAACATCATAATTCCACATATCTGCACTAAATTTTGTATTTATTTTATCAGCAAAATTATCTTTATTGTGTACTAACATTAAATTGTTTTGTTTCTCAGATATTTTTTGAATGAAAAATTCATTGTACATATCTTCTAAATGACCATATAAAAGCCAATTAGTTAAATGTTTATAAAAAACTATATGTACACAATGAGACATTCTAAATAAAATGAAATAATTAGCAAAAATGTAAATGTGAAAATAAAATAATATAATTTATTTATTAATAATATATAATAGTTATACTTATAGTTATATAATAACATATATTATATATAACTGTAACATATACTTACTTTTCTATTGCAGTTTTTACATCAGGAATACCGGTATACATATTTTGATGCAAACATTGTAATAATTTACAACCATGAATTTTTTGTGTGCGAATCTAAAATAAATTAAAAGTTTTTATAAAAAATTTTTTATATAAATATTTCAAATATCATTTTAAATATTAATTATATCATATTAATTTACTTCTCTTATGATAGAATTTAAAACAGAAAATAGACATATATATTTTTGAATACGACAAAGTATTAATGATAATGGAGTATAACTATCACGAAGAACTATATCTTCCAAATTAACAATTTCTTTACGAAAAGGTTCTAAAGCTTGATCCATTCCTTCGCAAAGAGCTTGTAAATATAAACCTTGAGATATATTTTGTAAATCTGTAATACATATATAATATATAATATATGTAATATAATATAATATAATATAATATAATATAATATAAATTAATATAATAAAATATATAATTAAGTTTAATAGCAATTTTTAATACCTTGAGTAGATTTTAAATTGTCAGAAGTAGTATATTCTTGAATAAAATTCCTGATAATATTGCATTGTTCAACTATATCTAATATTTCTTTAAGTAATACACGTTCACCAGGATGTAAATATTTTTCAAGATCTACAGTCTAAAAGCAAAAAATTTAAAAAAACATAAATAAGATGTAAAATTTAAAATTAATTCTAATAAATATTATTTTATAATCACATCTGATTCTAATATTTTTAAAGCATTAGTTGAACATCCCCATAATGACAATAATACTTCGTGCAACATTTTGATTTGATAAAATATTATTTTTTCATTTCAAATTATGTTGCACATAAATAAGAAAGGTAATAAAAACCGTATAAACTGAAAACTAAATAACCTATAATTCAATTATCAAAATTTATTTTTTGTGATATATATATATATATATATATATATATAAAATAAATAACGATAATATTTGAATAAATTAATATAGTATTTGATTCTGATTCTATATTCTATATTTCACGAAACGAATTTATTCACTGAATATAAATAAAATAACGTGATCACAATTTAGAGAAATATTAAAAATTATTCATAATCATATACAAATTTTCAATAAATCACTTATTGTAATTACAAATATATATAATTAAGTTTAATTTGTTTAATTAATTTAATATAATAAAATTATATAAATTAAATTACAATTAATTATTATGTAAAAATATTTGAACAAATATTATTCTTCAATATATTCTAAATAGAAAAATTGATATTTTTTTGATTCTTTATTTTGTTTATTATTTTTATTTATCATTTGTTTTTGTTAAAAATTTTATCACAAAATTAATTTTTTTTTTAGACTACTATATGTTTTTTTCTTTGAAATTTAGTTTCATATTATGTATATACTAGATACTCTATGTATGGAAATCATAATTTAAAGATTATCTTCTCATGTGAACTTTTATTTTAGAACATAAATATAATTATTAATTTATATGAAGAAGATTTATATAGCATAATAAAATTAAGAATAAACAATTTGCTATACGTTTTTCATGAAATACAAAATTATATTAAATTTTATTGTGTTGAAAAACATTCAATATTTAATATTGTAAAATAAATAACAAAATTAATGAATTGTTTTGTAATTTTGAATGATATTTATAAATTATGTCAAAAAAATTTAATAAATAAGTTGTGTAATATTTATATTCAGAAAGTTTTGTTTTAATTAGATAATTAAATGTAGATAATTATATTTACATAGAAATATAATAACCTCAAATAAACAAATTACTAAAACTATGTGTAAGTATAATATTAATTAAGTTGATTAGATTATTTTTATTAAATAATCATTTATGATTTATTAAAGTATAAAATCATAATAAAAACAATATAATTTATATATAGCAATATAAATTGTTTTTAATAATAAATTTTTTAGAGATACATAATTATGGATGTATTAAAGGATACATTGATATGTCGTTTGTGTGGTGTAAATCTTACAGAAGGAAAGTATAAAAATATTTTTGAAGGATCAACAGATTTAATACATAAAATAAAGGAAACATTACCAATTTCAGTATGTTAATATATGTAATAAAATTTAAAAAATATTAATTAATTTTAAAATTAAGATATTTTATTGATAATAAATCAAGCAATTATTAAAATATTAATTTAATAATTTGTATATTTTTGATATAATGAAAATTATTATTTGCAGATATCTATTGATGATAATGGTTCAAAATATATGTGTTTATTATGTTATGACAAAATTATTTTTTATTACAAATTTATTCAAGAGGTATTGGAATATTCTAAAAAATTACACAATGCATCACAAATTAAATCTATCTTTAATCTATCTAAAGAAATAACAGATTTTTCACAAATTCATAGTGATGCTGTATATACATGTCCAAATTGTAATGTTGATTTAATGATTTTATTGGTCAATAATCCCCAAGGCTGTGATTATAACTTCCAAATTTCATTAGCAATGGTAAATTCTGAAAAAAAACATATTATAAAAGAAAAAAATATACAAATACATAAAAATATAGTACATTTTAATAATGCAAAAAATAATATACATTTAAAAAATGAAAACAAAACAACAAAAGATATTGAAAACATACCTAATCAAGTAAGTCTAATATTACCTATATTAGAAGAAGAAAATTTAAATTGTAAGGATATATTATATAACAAACAAAATTCAAAAATTGAAATACAAAAAAAATTTAAAAAAAAAGAATGTAATACTCATAATTCTTCTACTCATTTATTTAAAATATCACAAGAGGAAGAAATATCTCATGTATCTAATGAGAATTTATTGAACTGTGATTATGATTCTACTGATCCATTAATAAAAAATGAGCCTGAAAGTGATACATATTGGTTAGATAGTGAAACTGATTATAAAAGTGAAAAAGATATATGTATAACTAATAAATCACAAAATATATTAGAAAAAAATGATGCACAAGAAATAATGTATATAAATGAAAATGATGTATATAAATCTTGTTTAAAATATATATGCAAATTATGTGGAACACGTTATCTTTCACACTTAAAATATGAATTTCATATGGAAAGACACAAATTTGGTAAAATAGATAAATATGAATGTACATTATGTGATAAAGAAACAAGTAATGAAAATTTATTATGGGATCATTATTTTCATACACATAAAAGTTTACAACGTTATATTTGTATAGAATGTGGAAAATTATTTACAAAACGATCTAGATTAAATGGACATCAAAAAAATTATAAACATTCTGGTGTAAAACAAATTCAAGTTGGTACTAGTGAAGATACTGTTAGTGAAGATGTCATACAAAATGCAATAGCAACAAAACAAGAAAAAATAGCAATAAATTGTAGTCTTTGTGGTAAATTAATTTCTGACTTAGATCCAGATGCTATTAATGATTTAGTTACATGTGCTACTTGTGAAGATTCTACACTTTCTTTAGTGATAGATGGAAATGAAACAAAAGTAATTTCTCCACGTCAATATCACTGTTCTAAATGTCCAAAGCATTTTGTACGAAAAGAAAGACTAGAATTTCATGAAATGAGGCATAATGAAAATATGAATGAATTTATTTGTAGTACTTGTGGAAAAGATTTTAGAGCAGAAAATTCTTTATATGAGCATTATCTTTTTGTTCATAAAGGAGCAAGACCTCATATCTGTGAATTATGTGGTAAATCATTTCAGTTGAAAGCTAGATTAAAAGAACATCATCGGATACATACAGGTGAAAGACCATATCAATGTGACATCTGTGGTCAACGATGTAGAACTACAAATGCTTTAAAACTTCATAGAAAAATTCATTTTTCTCATAATAGATATACTTGTAATATATGTAATAAATCATTTAGTAAGAAGCAGAATATGAATGAACATTTAGAAAAACATTGGAAAAATGATAAAAATGTAATATTACCACAATTATTTACATGTCCAATTTGTATAGAAGATTTTCCAACATATCGTATGTTAAAATACCACATGATAGAAGTTCATGAAATTAATAATCAGGATCCACTTTTGACAAAACAAAAACCATGGTATGAATGCACAGAATGTCATGAAAAATTCAAACATCAAATGTCTTTAAAAGCTCATAAAGAAAGAATACATGAGGGAAGAATAGATCCCATCTATCAATGTGACATATGTAATGCTACATATAGAGTAAAACAACTTTTAGTAAACCACATTAAAAGTAAACATAATGGTGAAAGACGTTATAAATGTGCACAATGTGAAAAAGGATTTAATGATACTAAATCTTTATATAATCATGTATTATTACATACTGGCAAAAAACCATTTATTTGTGAATATTGTAATATGAGTTTCAGAAGAAAAGATTCTAGAGATCATCATCGTAGAAAACATACTGGTGAACAACCTTATCAATGTCCTGATTGTGGTGAATCATTTTCTACCTATAATAATCGATCTAAACATAGAAAACGAGAACATGGAGAAGGAGATTCTGAATGTCCTGAATGTGGAGAAAAATGCAGTAATCAACAAGAAATTAGAATACATTTAAATAAACATTTGGGAGAAAAATTAAAAAAATTACAAAATATAAAATCTAAGGAAATGTAACTTATATATTTCAAGAGTAAAAAAAAAAAATACAGTGAAACTTCGATTGTGCAATCTAATGATATGATAATCTAAATTAAAATGAATTAATATCATATAATGTAGGAAAATCTTATTTATTATTTTTCATATTTATTAATTAAAATAATAAATTATATTTATTAATTAAAATTTATTTATTGTAGCTACTTAATACATGAGCGATTCTTTGTTATATCGCATTTCATTGATTACTTAATAAAAAAGTATAATTAAAAATTAAAAAAGAATTCAAAGACTTAATATTTTAATTTTTTATTGTGTCATTATTATGTAGATATTATTTACTAATTATTATTTTATATTTAATCCAATTAAAAATAAAATTTTTTATTTTTCTTTAATAAAAATGTATAAAATTTATTCAATAATATTTCAAATATTTTTTTATATATCTTTTATATTTCTTTAATTATCGAATTATTATTTTATTGAATAAATATATTTGTGTTATATAATTAATAAATAGTTATTAGTTTTTAAAGTTATATAAATTAATTAATTGAATTTTAAATTTAATATTTTAAATTATTCTTTTGTATTAAATATTTTCATACAAAAATTTATTTTTTTTATAAAAATTTATATAATGTGAAAATTTTTTTGTTTATGTATTTATATTTTCATGTACTTTTTGTTCATTTTTTACACATTTTTTACACAATTATTATATAATAATATTAATTATTTTTTATTTATATTTGTGCAAAATTATGTCTTTATATTTTTCAATTTTTGTATAAATTTTTTAGTTAATAGATAATTGTATAATTTTTGTATTTGTTAATATTTATGAATAAAATAAATTTATTTATAGTTTAAATTCTTAAGAATTATATTTTTTTAATTTAAATTTCTTTGTTTATAAATATAATATTTTGCTATTATATTTTTGAAATCAAATTTACATTATATATATTTATAATATAATAGAAATAAAAGATTATAACATATATAACATATAATAAAACATTGTAATTGATCATAAATATAGTACCTGAAATAATTTATAATGATATTGAAAATTAAATTTTAATATTTGAAATTAAAATATATGTTGAAACTTTTAAAATAAATATATTCCAATTATTCGAAGTTTCACTGTAAAATATGATTATTTTTACTAAATTACTTTATTAGTGAATTTTGAAATTTTCAGCAGTTAACAAGATTTAGTTATCTAATAATTTATTTAATGATTTATTTTTATATATTTATTTATATATATTCAAAGTATTATGGAGTACAAAAACATTCTATTTTATTTCAACAAAATAATGTATTTTACATATATACTTTATATATGTATTAAAGAAAATTTTTTATAAGTACAAACAATATTATAAAATCAAAATGTTTGAAAGTATTGTAAAGTAAATTTTATTATACTATTATTTTATCATATTTATTTCTTTAATTTAATATTAATATAAAACTTTACGAATATATATGTAAATACTATTTTATAACAATATAGTTATATTAGATTGAACATACAATGTAATTTATATTATACATGTATTATCATGTATCATATTATTTTTTTTTAAATATATTGTATATATAATGTATAATTATTTTTAATTGTTGTATTAAAATTGTTAAAAAAAATTTTTAATAAAAAAAAGGTACTTATATTTACTCTTTTATAATGGAATATTTTTTAAACAATTATTAAACCATACAAACAATTTTTATTTTTTGAAAAATTTTTAATAATGTAATCTAAAATCATAAAACTAAAAAAATATAAATTTTTATACTTTGTTACTTTTATTTAAACATTAGAAAAAAATATTTTCTCAAATATTATAATTATTTTAAATATTTGTGTTTAATTTTTATAAATATTTATTCTAATAAAATATATTATTTACAATATACAATACAAAATTTATAGTTAAATAAAATTAATGTGAATATTTTTTTTGTAGTAATAGAAAATATATAACGATTCTTAACAGCAATGTATGTATATTACTCATATGTAGATACAGTCAAAGTACACGTGCATCTGGGACAAATGTCAAAATTTAAATGGTGCGCCTTTGCATCTGATGCGGCGCTGCTTAGCAAAAATCAGGTGGTCGAATTTACCAGCTGTGTTACTTTATCTTGTAATCATACATAACGAAACTTTTAACTTTTTATTATGAGAAAATTAGTATTTTTAGCAAATGTAAAAGAATTATACTTAATATTTTTAATTACTAATAAATATTATTCAAATTTTCTCAATTTTTTTAGAAAATCAACAAAAATAATATATGAGGAACTACTTTTCCGCGGAGTAATATCGGAAACCGTTCGAGCGAGTCAATATTTATCTCATTTTTTTAACGTAATTATACTTTATTTTACTTGAAAAATAAATGAAAAAGAAAGTACTTAAATTTTAGAAAACTTTTATAATCAATTTTGTTGAAAGTCTTTATTTTTTAAATGGTTATTTATCAAAACAATTTTTGCGGAGCAATAATGTCGTGCTACGATCGCACAGACGCAAACCAGCTCCGTTCATTGGCTAAAGGAAGCGAGCGATTCACGTATATACTCTTTTCTGTAAATACATATTCACTAACACTGATCTAAAATTTTCACACAAGATTCAGGAATGTATCTATTACATAAGGTACCCTCTAAATTTTAAAATATATTTGTTTATTTTTAGCGAAATTCGTTATTTAAAATTATATTTTTAAACATTTATTTTTTATTGAAATTATTTTTTATATATTAATAATAATTTTTTATTTAGATAAAACTAATATTGCTAAAAACAATCTTTAGTTTTCATGAAAACATGAAAAATTAAATTCTATTATTACACTATTAAATATAAATCGTGTATTTATAAATTTTTTTATTATTATATTTTTAAAATTGTCAATTTTAATGTTATATATTAAATTATTTGCCATAAAATGAAATAATAATTTTATAAAATTAATGCAATAAATGAACACAAAAATAATAAAAATAATATCTTAATATTTAAATTATCAAAATACTATTACAATTTAGATATATTTATATGAATTATATTTTTTTAATTTAAAAAATTATAGGGAATTTATTAATGATCCAATTGAAAACAAGAGAGATAAATACGATCCTGGTTGCTCAGAACAAGTAGGGGTGAAGGGAGAGGCAGGTTCGCACACACACCGGCGCAGAACGAGGAGCGAATTCACTCGCCGGCTCTCAACAAGAACGCGTCGACATATACACCGTGCTTGAACGTACTGAGGTGATATATTTCTTATTTATCCTACGGTCGAAGGCGAGTCAATCGTAAAAATGGCCGGGGAAAAGCGTACTCAGGATCAAGAGGAAACCTTATTGTCAGAAACAGTGATCTTAGTTGACATCGAAGGCACTACGACGAGCATAAGCTTCGTGAAGGTAACAAAGACCATGGCCGTGAGGCAGAACGCACCCTACGGTTCTCGCATTTCACCGGTTTTCTGATTTATTTTCTGACAGTACCTAATGATCATAATTTTTTATATAGAGAGTTTCTTTTACATAAAATATTGAATCTTATTAAAGACTTTTTGTACTAAAAAAAATTTGTAGATTATATTTTCGCGCGTATTGTGTGTGTTCTCTTAACATTTACTATGCCGGCTGAAATCCAGTTTCAAGTTCCCTATTCGCAATACAACGAAGTTTCATGGAAGGCAATAGATGCTGTTTCGTCAAATTTAAAGCGAATAAAATATTATTTACATTGCATCGAATTTTTTATTTATAATTTTAATATAATACATTGTTTACTCGTTAATGTTTTTTGCAAATTTTTGGAATTGTTTTCTAAGATGTTATAATGAAAACAAACTAAACGAGTATTTAGAAAACTTAGCTTATTTATAAAAACATAAAATACATTGAATTATTATATAGCGCTATAATATTATTGCACATATTTTTCAAAATAACGGAAACCATAACGGCGCATCGCACTGTTAATTCGATCGACGAACGCACTACATTCACGTTTACCTTACTTTCAGGACACACTTTTTCCTTATGTGCGAGAGAATTTAAAGAAATATATTGAAACTAAATGGGAAGATGAAGAATTCAAACAAGACTTTGAGAAATTAAAGGAACAGGTAAAAATTACAAGTAAACATTACAAACAACATTAAAATGGAATATTAGAATATTATATTGGAATATAAATATATATATAAAAAATTTTTATTTTATTTATTGATATTACAAATATTGAAATGTTTTGGAAATTATAATTTTTGAAAAAATACATTATTTAAAAATACATTTATTATATATATATATTTATAATATATTATTTTATTTATGTTTTAAACATTTTATTTTATTAAAATTGTAATTTAATAAATATTAGTATTACATTTTAATAATGAATTTTAAAGTGATCAATAATTTGTCAGATAAAAACTATTAGATTTTGATCTGGAAACATTTTTTCCTAAAGTTTATTTAAACTATACATTATGAAACTTAAAATTTAGATTATAAATTATTTTTTAAATATTTTTGAAGTATTCATTATTATAAATTATAAATATAATTTATATTTTTATTTAAAATAAATCATTTATCATATTTTAATTTACTATTTAATATTAATCAATTTATATATTATCTTATGTTATTTTACATAATTTAAATTATGAATTATTATTATCTCTATCTGTATCTCTATTATGTATCTTATTTATAGAAAAAAACTTTTAAAAATATTAATCAAAATTGATGTTTTTTATAATTATTTAAAAAAATTTTTTAAAAATATTAATATTTTTAAAAATTCAAAGTATGACATAGTATGTAATATTATTTGTTTATTAAAATAAATATAAATTTAAATTTTAAATTATTAAAATATATTTTATATTATGTGTTTTTATTATTAAAAGAAATATTGTAGATGTTTAAATAAATTCATTTATAGACATTTAATATTTTAATCATAGGCAAAGAAAGATGAAGAAAATAAAATTGATGGTTTTATACCAATTACTGATATTAATACAGAAGAAGAAAGAGAATCACTTGTAAAAAATATATTATGGCAAATGGATTGTGATCGAAAAACCAGTGCATTAAAACAATTACAAGGGCATATGTGGCGTGAAGCTTATAATTCTGGATCAATTAAAGCACAGTGAGTCTTTTGCAATTTATTTATTGTAAAAGATTTTTAGGTTTTGAAATTCAATGTTTAAAATTTTTATATACAAATAATATAAATATATATATTTTCAATAATATGTTATATAAATATATACAACATATTTTATATAACATAAAATCTTATATTTTTATGTAATATATATATATATATATAATTATAATATAATAATATAATATAATAATAAAATTATAATATAATTATATATATATTGTAAACATCTTCTAATATATCCAATTTTATATATAAATTAATATTAAGAAGAAATATGTTTTTAAAAAGTTATTTAATAATAAATAAATAACAATATACAACTTTATAGTATACACACCATTGTGAGGTGAACATTTTGTGTAAGGGCTCACTTCAATTTGACATAAATATGTCACTACAATTATTATAAACAATTTACAATATAATAAACTAAAAATAATCAAGAAAATGATAAATAAATTATTTATGTAGTGTTTATGAAGATGTACCGAAAGCACTAGAATCATGGACGAGTGATGGTAAAAAGGTCTATGTTTATTCGAGTGGTAGTGTCGAAGCACAAAAACTTTTATTTGAACACTCAATATATGGTGACTTACTTAAGGTATTTTATTATATTTTAATTGTAATATGATAGTATTATAAATATATGAGAAATTGAATATAATAGATTGTTGTATATATTATTGTTTTAGCATTTCAGTGGTTATTTTGATACTGAAGTAGGTCCAAAACAAGAATCAAATAGTTACAAAAATATATTAAGTAAAATTGGAGCTGAATCCTCAGATGTAATTTTCTTAACTGATGTTGTAAAAGGTTAGTTATTTATTTTAATATTTTTAAGTTAATATTTTAATATTTTCAATCATTGTTGTAGTTAAATCAATTCTTATATTTTATTAATATCAATTTTTATATTTTTTTATAATAGAAGCTACTGCTGCAAAAGAAGCTGGTTTATCAACAGTTATAGTACTACGTGAAGGCAATGCTGCTCTTACAGATGAAGAAAGAGTGGCTTCTACAACTATTAAGTCATTTTTAGACTTAACATTTCAAACTTCTACAAAACGACAAAAATTGGAAGCTATAGAAGTTCAAAAAGATACAAACAAATCCACATCTGATATTAATGAACCAATGGATACTTCTGAAGATGTTGAAATGTCTGATATTAATAATCAAGAAAAGAAGATTGATAAAGTAGATGTAAAAGAAGTTATCCAAGAAGAAGTAAAAGAATGTGCTAAAGATCAGCTACCAAAAGAAGCACAAACTTCAGATGTGAAAATGGAAGAGCCTATGGTTACTGATATAAAAGATGCAGTAAACGCTGAAAAACTAATGGAAAATAAATCTGAAAAAATAGAACTTCAGCCATCTGAGGTGAGTACAAAATTAGACACTTCTGAAAATGTGCAAGTTACTATGACCGGTAGCACTGAATCAACGATAAAATCTTCGAAAGATGATATTGACAAATCTGCTGTTTCTGAAAAAATAGAAAAATCTATAACTGAAAAAACTATAGAGTCTATATCAGAAACTCTTACTGCCAATGATACCTTGAATGTTGGGACAAGTGAGTCTAAATCAAAGTCTGATCAAGTTTCTATTATAGAGAATAAGACTGAAGAATTTTCAAACATTGATAAAGAAATAAAATCTGATGATATAAAAATATCAGATGTAAAAACTATTGAAAACGTATCACAAGAAAAGAATATTAGTAGTATAAACGAAAAATCAGAAGAATGTTCTAATAAATCACAAAAAGAAATGAAAGAGGAGTCCACTGAAAAAATTGTAATTAATTCTAGTATAATAGAAACTCAAACATCAGAAAATGATGCATCTTCGATAAAATCTGCACAAGAACCGACAAAAACAGAAGAAAAACCTGCAGAAAATGGTGATGTTCCATTAACAAATGTAGAAAAAATTATTGCACCAACGATAACAGAATTAGAAGCTACTAGTAGCAAAATAGATACAAATACTGAAATAAAAAATACTACAGAAACAGTTAAAGAAATAAAATCTGAAAAAGAAACAGAATTGACTAATGTAAAATCTTCTAAAACAAAAGAAATAGAAGAAACATCAATATCTAAAATTGATGCAGAAAAACAAGTAAGTGTAGAAATATCAAAACAGGAATTAACAGAGAAACCAACAAAAGAAGAAACTGTAGCGGATGAAATAAAAGAAACAAATACAGTGGATTCCGAAAAGAAAAAATTAAATAGTACAACACAAAACGGAGATACAGATGTGCCAGTGTCAGATGATAAATTACAAAGAAATGGACAATATGAAGGGTCATCGAACGAAAATATTAATTCGTCTACGAGCGAAAGTACATCTGCGCAAAATGGTGAACCAGAGAGTTCCTCTGAAGCTAGTGCAGACTCTATAAAAGTCAAAAAAGTCGTTGATTCTGCTGTAGCTGATGGTGCCGGCGAACCTGACGTTGTTCCCCCTGTAGTTGTAGCTGCGACGTCTTAATCTTGTTCTTATACATTTTAAGAAGTCCTTCATACATAACCCCAACCCACAATACTTATCCGCAGATATAAACTGAAAAGTTGGCTCCCTACACCTTACATAAATCGTACGACGTTAAAGATGTAATACGTTAATTTAAGATACAGTTCATAAGATTTCTATTTCTTCGACAAATGTGAAGGGAAATGATAGTAATGACATATACAGCGTGTCTCAGATTCGATTATCTTTTACATGTCACAGTTTGATATATATATATATATATATATATATATATATACACACATACATATATATATATATCTCATATTTGTCGATTATGCTTAATAGAAAATTTAAGAAAGATCATAAACACTCAGTTCCTATACTTCCTACTTTACATTGCTTAATTTATTTTATTATACTTTATCTACATTTTTTAGTTTGTTTATACAAATGTATTTTTTATAATTGACATACATTTATAATTCAAATTGACTCGAGGATAATCGAAAATGTCATTCGCTGTAGTCAATAAGTATTTTTAATTTTTCTTTTTTTATTACATTTTATAATGTGTATTAAGATTTTTCTTTTATATTGTCTAAACGGAATGTTATACTATGAAAATTTATAGAATAGCAAATTCATCATAGTTGGAGTATGCTAAAATACTGAATGTACTTTGTGCCAAATGAATTAATTCGTCAGTTTGAAGATTTTTATGATTATATATAGAATATTAATATATTCATAAGATATTTTTGGAAAATTAATTTTAAAAGCTAAACAAACACAGAAGTATACAAAAATGTCGCTTGAATTATATCAAATTATAAGGAATTTAAGTTTATGTTAGATAAAATAAGCTCGATCTATCTTTGTCACATTACTATCTTATTCTATTTTATTTCATCTAACATAAATTTAAATTTTTTATAACTTGATAAATAAATCAACTAACATTTTTATATTTTTGTTTTTGTTTCTGTATCAGAATTGATCCTCCAAAAATGTCATATGGATATATTAGCATTCTAAGTTTAAAGATCTGATCATATTTTAGTTTCTTACAACAATCAGGGAACTTTAACTATATATTTTAAGACTGAATTGGTAATGCCTCCAAAAGTCGCTGGCTTTAGATTAACGATATGATTTTTTGCATACTCTTGAGTACTTAAATTGTTAATAACACAGTGATCTTGGAATCATAAATCCAAACTTATTATCGAACAACTGTGTTTTACAATGAATTTTATTTGACTATATTAGATATATTTTTCACATTTCAAAGAATGCTGTGCGACTTATTGTAATGTGTCTGACATTATATTCCTATTTTCTTTTTCTTTTCGACATTTTTTTATTGAAATGTATATTTCTAATTTAGAACATTTTGAATAATGTTGGCCTATATGCATTACGCGTTTCTGTTTTTTATATTTCGTATCACAATTAACATTTATCGATATTAACTTAATTTTGAGCAATTTAAAGTTTTGTGTTGCATTTATTAGTATTCTATAAATAAAAATTATAATATTCATTTATTGTCAATGACGCGACTATAATACGGTATATATTACATGCAAACATTATTTTGTTAGTTTTATAAAATATATTTAATATAGAATAATCCGATTAGAAGGAAAAATACTTCGGTTTGGAAATTTATTTTTTCATTTCTACGGATTAATACACGAAAATTTATTTTAAAATAACCGTTTCCCGATAGTGATAATTTTTCTTTCCTGTTTTTTTAAAATTCGTAAATTATTTTCAGCAAAATTTGAAACAAGAATTCAATTATTTATTTATTATCCATTCCTGCAAAATTGACTGTGATTTAACGATATAATAATAGACATAGGGAATTTAAACCAATTCATTTATTATTCATGTTTAGTATTTTGTTTGGCAGGCTATTATATTAATATTTTTTTTTTTTATATATATATAACGAAATTAATATACATCCTGTCTGATTGAAGTCACTGTGAAGACTGTAGACGATATAGTCTGTAAACAATCAAAGTTTCTATATTTCTTCTTTTTTTTTAAATTACAATTGTTTTTTGTCAGCGGCTATGCTAAAAAAATTCAACAATGCATAAAGTCGAGTAAACGAAATAAAGTGCAACGTCAGCTATTATCTTATAAGTATATGTATAGTCAGTAACGATTATATTACGAGATTTCAAACAAATGCATATTTTTTACAAGACAGTTGACAGACCTCGCATTTATTTATAAGATATTCTTACGGAGATGAAAATCATTTAAATACTCATTAATTTTTTTTGACGTTGCATAATTCATTATGAATGAAAAAGTGAAGAAATTGTTCAAAAATAATCTTCATTCGTTACCTGAAACGGAATTTAAATTTTGTGTATTTGATAATGAAAAATATTCGGAGATATTATAAAGGATAAGATACATTATCGATGTTCGATTTGATCCTACATAACTTATTCTTAAATCAAATAAATAAAAAAACATTTTCGAATTGATATTATAAAATTTAAAACAGTTGCAAATTCATTGAATGTATATTCAATTAAATAAGTATATTCAAAAATGCTCAATTGAAAAAATTAAATGGTTTCATTAAAAATTCTTAACGATAATTGACAAAGAAAACATTATGTTAATAGCCTCGAAGCGTTAACGATTGTAAACTGCCGATTTTTTGCCATAATGAATTTTTTTTAATTGTTTTTTCAGTAATATTTTAACTACTGACTGCCATCAGTATAATAAAATTAAACTTTCAGACGTTAGCTAGCAATATGTATAAAATTTTTCTCGACTGACTTTCATGACATCATCAGATATCATCTCCATATCATCCATTATTATTCTTGTGTCAATAGTCGAAAGAATCGAAATACATATTGGTAATTTGCGTCCTGTAATTTCTTTTTTTTTTTTCTTTTTGCTAGTGCTCAATTTTAACGAACCTTAGTCTTTTTTCTTCAAACATACACGATCGTGTTTAATTATACATAAAATAGCGTCATTAATGTGCTAAGTTTAGGGATCGTTAACTCTTTGCGGTTTTGTAAAATTTAAATATTATTAGAATTAATGCGAAATGAAACAAATATAAATTTATGATTGGTCGTATAAAATTTAACAGAATGAATTATTAATTTTTCAATATTGTGAACCGCAAAGTGTTAAAATGAAAAGTGTTTGTAAGTTTAATGTTTAAATTTTTGACTGTGACGTGTCAACTTAAAGATTCGAATCAACGTTTGATACCCAGTGTGATGCGACCATACTCTGAAATATGTATGAATGCAGTTTTATTATGTTATATTCTCACATGAGATTGCCTGGCCATCGTACACTGCCTTGTTATTTATTATCTTATATGATGTACCGGATATTGACCGATCAAAATCTTCATTAGTCATGAATCATTAATAAAACATCAATGCTTTGTATTTTGTTGAAAATTAAATGTGTGTGTCGCATATAATATAATTTTTTCATTCGAGACACATTTCATCATTTAAACTCGTACGTATAATAGTTGTAGATTTTGTAAGTGAATTAAAACGTAACGTAATTTCTCAAAACGTTTTTTCACAGCTTACAAGTCGAACAGCTACTTAAATTATATTCGTAAGATTTGTCGTCCTTTCAGAATACATTAGATACTGAAATACATTAAGTACAGAAGATAGGAAATATTAATAAACAATAGCTTCGTATCGATTAGCGATTATTATTTGTAATTCATTGGCTATTTTATGTAACATGTCAATATAAGTGTAGGAGAGAATGTACGGACTTAATTGATACTTTTTAACGATAACCTTCGATGGAGATTCCTGAAACAAAGACTCGTATCCTATAAGAGACTGCTCTGTTGCTTTTTTTTTTCTCAGCCAAGTATTTTACATGTTTTTTTCTTTTCTTTTGTTACATGAAACCATTCGTAGTTACTATTTCCCAGTGTTCTCTAAATGATTAACGCGCGCGTGTGTGTTGTGTTTGTGTGTATGTGTGCGTGTTACACGGTGAGGGCACAAAGCTGAGTTCTATTTCATGATATCAATTTTAATGATCATCAGATCTTAAATACAACTTTATTGGATGAAATAACATATTATTGGCTCCAGAATGGTATGTACTGTACAGGAAAACATTGACGGTTCTGTTCCCTTTGAACTTTTGACTGCATTAGTAGAGCAAAATAAATGAATTTTGCAATTAGAATCTGAGAATTCATCTTTTATTTCATTATTCCTAAAGAAGGTTTTGAATGCGTGAACAAGATTTGTTTTTGAGAGAAAGAGAGAAAGGATTCTTGAAAATGAAGTGAGCATCACTCATCCTCTTCTTCATATTAAATTTTATTTAGATGTATATATTCTTATGGTAATATTAAATTAAATATAATGGAAGTAAGAAAATAATTAGTGTTTTTTTTTCTTTCTCTTTTTCTTTCTCTCTTTCTCCTTTCCCACAATTTTGAATTAAAAAAATAGTATAAAGAGGTAAAAAAATGTAATTAATATATTGAAATATATATTGAATATATATATTGAAAATATATATTGAAATATATATATTGAAAATAATTAAAATGATTGAAAATAAATCTGCTCTCGATATTATTTTCTCGAATTGATTCGTGCTACTGTTATTCTCAGCTAGTCGATAATGTTAGGTGTAGCAGCATTTTCATCCGATCGATTCTGGAATGCTAGTTATTCTACTATGCGCACTAGAGCATTAATTTTCAAGCAGCCAATTCAATAAACTGAGATATAAAAAATTTTATCTCATTTTAATTTACATTAAAGCAATAATATTATTTGGAAATAATTCTTTTTGTTCTCGCCGTAATGTTAAGATATATTGCATATTTGATACTTGAAATATATATTGTTCAAATATGTGACAAATTTCTTTTTCTACTTATCTAGAATCGAAAAACAAAAATATGAAATTTTATTTAAAAATTATTTTGTGTACATGTTTCATGTAAAAATATAAAATGTATTAATATTGCCCATGTAAAACGTTTTATATTAAAAAAAATTAAATATACAAGAATTAAAAGATATTTATAATTAAAGAAATTAGAAAACTAAAATAATATTTATATTAATGATAAATTTTTTTTTAAATAATAATTTATAATGATTTCTTAATGTTTCCTAATATATTATGCTATATCTTTTTTACTTATATTAAAAAAATATATATGAATTCTATAAAAAATATATATATTAATATATATTTTTTATTAATATATAATATTTTTATATGTACACTTTCTTTTATGATAATTGAATTAATTTTTTAATTTATTTTATACTATATGAATGAATTGTAATTTATTTTAAACTATATATCATATTTATTATTTTTTACTATTTTTTTAATATATTTTTTCATTTTTATATTTCATTTTTAAATAACATATTTTCATTCGTAGTTTCTATTAAATTTGAATATCTTATCTTTTCTTTATTATTTTATTTTTATATAAATTTTTATTATACAATATATGNATACTAGAATTAAAAGATGCAAGCATTTAAACTTTCTCTTACAGAACATAGAATAAACTGTGCAAAGGGAATAAAAAAGTGTTGTTTCATAGTTTAGTCTGGAAGCTTTTACTTCACGTGAAGAAAGTGTAAGATCTTCCACCGTAAAAAAGTTCACTCATCTAATCTTAACTAAGTGTTCATTTTAAAATCCTTTTTTTATATGCTTATATGAGATTTCTTCTTAATACTATGTTTTAATAAATAATAGTATAAATAAATATAAAAGTAATAATAATTAACAGCATTAGTAAAAATTTATCATTTTTTTATGCAAATATTATAATTAATTTACGTTTTTCTTTTTTTTTTAAATCTTTTTGTGTTTTTTTATATTAATTTATATTTCTATTATTCTAGTTTATATAGTTAATATAATATATGTAATAAATATATAATAATATATATAATAAATTTTAAGAGAATATAAAATTTAATCTTGGAATAACTATAAGAATTATTTTAAGATCATTTTAATATACAATACTTAATGTAATACAATACTTAAAAATTGTAATTTTTCTTAAAATTTTTTTCAGTTATTTAAAAGTATAAATGTATTAAAAATTATTATTTTTTTGTATGTTTTAGTTACATCGAGGATTGTGAAATTTGGTTCTATTCTAAGTGAAAGTTGAAAAGTTTTATAAATCTCAAATATGGTGAAATATTTTTAAGCAACTTTATAAGAGAAAAAATTTTTGTATATATATTTTGTTAATGAAAACATAAAATCTTTAATTAAAATTAGCATGCTTTTATGTGTTTTAATAGATAAAACCAAAGATGAATAATTATATATGAAGAATTATGTAATACTTCTTTAAATAAAATATTAGGAATATTTTTT